GTCCGTGGACCAGTACTGGGCCGCGGCATGCCAGCAACCGGGCCTCACAAACAAGCATCCGTGAGATGCAGGCAGCACACAAAAATCTGTACCCTCCGGTCCATGGAAAAACCTCTCTCCACGGAACCGGTCCCTGATGCCCAAAAGGTTGAGGACCTCTGCTCTAAACTCATTTTGGAATGTTTTACCGTGGACAGACTCTGTATGTTGACTTTTCCTTGCATAGCTACCACAAGGTAACTCTTGCATCTTTAATTATTTAGAACTGGCTATATTGATTTGTGTAAGGAGCAGGGAATAATAGTTTTAAATAAATTCTAATGCCACTCATGTATATGGTATATAGAAAGATGTGGCTGTGATGTTTTGTAACTGGTCCTAGAACAGTGTTTCTCAACCTTGACAATTTTAAGGCATGTGGACTTCAACTCCCAGAATTCCAGAGTCAGCAATGCTGGCTGTGGAATTCTGGGAGTTGAAGTCCACATGCCTTAAAATTGTCAAGGTTGAGAAACACTGTCCTAGAAGTTTAAAAAAACTTACCCGGCCTTGTTCAATGCATTTAGTCAACATAACAACTGTGTAAATCTTCTTCTCCCAGATCATGCGCCAGAAATCTTGCACAGTGTTAGGCAAAGGGCCTTGTGCTGCAATAAACTCTTTCTTGGAGTTATACCCCTGTTGATAAAAATATGGTCTTGGTATCATTTTTTTCAACAAACTCACTACTCTAAATAATGTGTTTTAAACACACCAGGAAGACTTACTGGCATATAATTTGCATTAATGTAATCATCAGTTGAATGATTTGGAATTGAAAGTTTAACACGAGAAATATCATCTGCAAGGACAAAAAAGAAAAAAGAAACGTCAGGTCTTGCTTTTTAAATGTAATTTAGGCAAATTCATTAAATAAATAAAATGCATTTATTGTCAAAGGTTATATGCAAAGTAAAAAAATATAGGAAGTGGGGCTACAAGTACGTTTAATTATGTGGGGTCCTTGGTGCTATCTGAGCTGGGTGGTTTTCTTGCAGATGTTTCATTACCAAACTATGTAACATCATCAGTAAAATTTAATTATTCAAGCCAAGTATTAAAACTTAGGGAGTAAGTAATAAAGTGCTAATGAATAAGCACTTCAAACAAATTAATTATGCTTCAATCATATCCCACTAATTTAATTAAAGAAAGGAGCTAAAGAAACTTTCAAATGCAATTTTCAAAATGTTTTTTTTAGGAGACAATGGTCAATGTATAGCTTTTAATCTGGTACACATAAGAATTTGATTCAGCTCAGTAGAGAAGCATGATTACTGAGAGACAGCTTCTGAGCACTAAACATCTATTTTCTACTTAATTTTTTGGAATGATTGAGACACTTCCAGCATCATATCAAGTATTTAATGGAAATTGGTTACATATGAGAATGTTCCTTTTCATTACTACCTTTAGCTCCTATTTGATGACGGTCCATGCAACAATTGAGGTGGAAAACAAAAGATTATGATGACCTCTCTTCACACAGAATGGCACATCATTAGACTAAACACATAGCATACTAACTTGGCATACTTTAGAAAAAAAAGTTAGTTAAATCCTTTTGCAATCAAGAGGATTGAAGGAAATTCTACAAATTAGGCTTCTAATGCCAGCCTGTACTATATTTAGGATTTGCTTTAGAGATCTTCTTCCAGGTGTCCCAACATGACATGAAAAAGAAAGAGTAACCCTATTGGTTAACTCTGGTCCCTCCATAATTCTTAAATGAAACATGACAGTCCAGTTCCACCATCCATATCATATATTGCGTCAAGGGCCAAGGAAAATATGGAGAATTTAAAATCAAAATCAAAGTCGCATTTTCTATTACAACTAAGCAGAAAACTTAGCAGGAACTGCTTTGGCCCAAATGGAAGTTCTGACACATTTTATAAAGTTACAGCTAAAATATTTTCAGTAATAGTAAGAGTTAAATAAAGAAGTAGAATGGGGAACTTACAAGGCAAAACATTGTTGTATCTATTTTTTCCTTTGTTTTCTGACAATTCAGCAGCAAATTTAGGCTGATTAGCACCAACTGGCCTGAGATCCTACAACAGAGAAAGATATAATTTATTACTTTTCTACTCAAAACACAGAAACAGTTTTTCAATATTTAGCATTGTTGTACTTTAGGAAAAGTACTTATTATTTCTGCTTGTTAGTTTGTTTTCACAATTGAGTTTTGGCTCTTTACTGAAATACACTCAAATATATAAAACTTTTGCAAATTGCAAGAATTCATTTAATGGAAGTGACCATATACGCATGGAAAATATTCCTGTATGAATAAGAATTGTTAAAAAGCATACCTCATACTCTTCAGCAAACCCACAGTTTGAGTCAGCTTTCTGTTTCTTAAAATAAGATTCGTAATTTTCAACTTTAAGTAACTTTGATCTGCAAAAGATAAAAATAGCAGTGACTGTTTAGTATACAGTTTTGTTCAAACCACAAAAAAGTACCAAGTCACTTTGGGAGTTAACCCCTTAATTATGCAAAAAATGTCTCTGCATTAGAACCAAGCGTCCACTGAGAAATGCTGAAGCATATCAAGGTATAAATGAGTCAATAGCAATTTAGAAATTCCCAAAAGTAAAAGCAAAGTGAAACAAAGAAACACTTGAAAAGTAAAGTGTTTTAACATGTAAAGTAAAACAAAAAATTCACTCAAAAATCATATATATATATAGGTTGGAAATTAAACAGAAATCAGAACGTATAAGTATTTGGGTAGAAAGGTAGAAACAATAATTCTATTTATTCAGGATGGAAATATTTACTTACTTTTTAGGTCTGGAAAGGAAAAAGAAAAAGGAAAATATAATTATTTTCTTTATTTATTGAGCAAAACAATTTTTATACGTAGTATTTGGGATTCAGCAAAGATTGTAATGAATTCCTTAAAATAAATCACTGTTGTAATATGAATGGTTCTAGTTAAATGTTGAGAGCAATGCATTGGTTTAAAAATTTACCTTATCCAAGTTTATGCTATGTTAATGCTGTTTCCAATTATTTGTTCCTTTTTTTCCTGCTTCTTATATACGTTACTTCCTTTGAAACAACTTTAACGTTGTTATTATTAGGATGAAACTAGACATGATACCATTTGCAGAATTAGCCACTACGTGAATGGTTTCTTTAAAGACTAAATGTTTATTAAAATTCTAATCACCTTAATTGTTTGTAAAGCTTTAGAAATGCTATGGAATTTGTTTGTTTATTTATTTATTTATGTAAATATTTTGGTGGTTGCCCAAATCCACCCTCTCCTACCCATTTTCAAATCAACATCAGAAAAAAAGTTCAAACAGATTTCTGAATACTAGGCAAAGGATAAAAAAAAGCATTCAACTTACTCAATTTGAGCAAATGGCACTTCGTTATTTCTACCTTTCCTATAAAAGGGGAGATTTGAAAACAAGTTAATTGGGATTTTTATTCTTTAATATTTACATCAAACTAGTTACATAGCTTTTCATCTAGTTAATGCACTAAATTATGCTTTCTGTAGGCAACAAATGTGTTTTCAGAAATTAGTAAAGGATGTTATATTCAATTTTCTGTGACAAGAGTTCTGAGTAACCAGCAATCCTGCCTTATTATTCCAGAATACAAGCTTATCACCAAGAAAAAGATCTGTGTAGCATCAGATATAAAGCAAGAACAAATAAAAAACATGCTGTCCATGTTTTGAATTACAACTCCCATAATCTATGAATAGCTATGCTGACTGGATCTTTTGGCTGAAGATTTCTAGAGGAAAGCACACAAACTATGATCTAGCTGGGAATGCTGGAAACCCCAGGCTTAGTCCATTTGGAGAATCTTCATGGACTCTAAAGTAGAGATGCCTGTGATTTATCATGGAACTCAAAATTCAGCTGCATTATGTTTTTATACCTTTTCTTTTTCCAGAAGACAAATCCCACAACTGTAACAATAACTAACAGAATCAGAATGCTTCCAACAACACCTCCTGTAATGACAGCTTGAAAGGGAAAAAAAAAAGATAGTCTTAGTATGAACTTTTATGCTCTCTTACACCCATCTAATGCTTCTAATTTCCCCTTTTTACCCTCTCTCTTTTATATCTTCTTTTTATATCTTCATTTTCACTCTTGATATATATACATACACACACACACACACACGCATATATATATATACACACACACATATATATATATATATGTTTTCTGAGGTTTTCGCGGGTGTTTGTATGTAGGTCTTTGGTTATTCGGGTTTTCTCCCGTGTAAAATTGGAAGTGTCTTGGTGACGTTTCGACGAAGTCCCATTCGTCATCTTCAGGCTGGTGTCTTCAGCTTCGTGCTTCTAGGAGTACTCCTAGAAGCACGAAGCTGAAGACACCAGCCTAAAGATGACGAATGGGACTTCGTCGAAACGTCGCCAAGACACTTCCAATTTTACACGGGAGAAAACCCGAATAACCAAAGACACACACACACACACACATATATATAATATAATATATATATATATATATACACACACCAGGAAAAATTATAAAACTATAAAAGTTTTAATAGATAAAAAACCAAGCTTTCGTCGGTATCTTCCGACATCGTCAGGGCCAAATGCCACTCCATGGGAGAGTTCCTTTATACACAACACGTCGTCTGAGTCCGGCTCCTGGAAGATACCGACGAAAGCTTGGTTTTTTATCTATTAAAACTTTTATAGTTTTATAATTTTTCCTGGTGATCAAGTTTGTTCGCTGTTCGATATGAATATACCCAGGAATCATTCGTTTGTTTTTAGTATTAGATAGATAGATAGATAGATAGATAGATAGATAGATAGATAGATAGATAGATAGATAGATAGATAGATAGATAGAGATAGATAGATAGATAGATAGATAGATAGATAGATAGATAGATAGATAGATCATTTATGCTTTTTAATGATTGTATCCACCCGCTTATGCTGGTCTGATTTTGCTATGTTTTTCTGATTTTATTGCGATTTAGTCCTTAATAAAGGCAGCCAACTGGATTGGATCAGCTGTACTTCAAATCTTCATTAATACACAGCATTAATGGTATAGGACAACAGACCATTTTGTGAGATATACAAGTCCCCTGTATACCTGCAGATTCCTTTAAACTATCTGGATGGAGAAAGCTTGGCTTCAGTAATTCACTGATAAGATAGATTCAAATTAGGCTACTGCAGCTTCATCTGCATGGAAATGTCTTAGAACAGTGGCCCCCAATCTTTCCGGCTTGGTGGCCTGGTGGGGAGGGGGAGGATGGTTCTGTATAAGAGGTAGGTGTGCGCATTTATGTCCTCCACTCCTGCAAGTGAAGCTGTGCATATGTGCTCATCACTTGCACAGCCCAGTTCCGAACAGGCTGCAGCCCACTAGTTCGCGGCCTTGGGATTGGGGACCCGTCTTAGAAAACAATTCCAAATATAAGGATAAGAGTGTTTATTTGTTTGACCATTAAAATTATATTATGCTTATGTTTCAGTAATTGCAGATGTCTTTCTTTATTGTTAGGTTTGAAATATGCAATGGCTACAATGTGGCCTTCTAAAGGTTAGGGCCAGGCTTTAAATAAATGCTTCTTTCTACAAAGGTTTGCTTGTACATTGAAATCTTCAACAAAAATCTTTCCCTGGATGTCCTTGATATCTGAAATACAATGGATGGTTTTTCAGAGATGGCTACGCCAAGGGTGTATTGCTATTCCCAGGATGGCCTACATCAGGGGTCCCCAACCTCCGGGCTGTGGACCAGCACTGGTTCATGGTGTGCCAGAAAGTGGGTCACACAAATGGGCAAAGCCACATCCACACACGGGATGCAGGCAGGGCATGAAACCACGCCCCCTCCTGTTCACGGAAAAACCTCTCTCCACGGAATCAGTTCCTGGTACCCCAAAGGCTGGGCTGCTGGCCTATGTGATGCTCACCCGAAGACTTTATATTTTCCTAACCTGTTATGCTTACTTTTATGTACACTACTTTTATGCTATTATGCTATTTATGCTATTTATGTCTATTTATGAACATACAATTTTGATTTCCTCTTCAACTTTAATAAGGATTTTAATCAGAAGATTCAAAGAGTTGGGTCAGAGTAGAGCTGGGTTGGCAACAAGAATTTGATCAATACCTGGATTCTGAGGTAAGACAATGGACGGTGAAAGAGGTGAAAATGAGACATAACTCTTCTCTGTGTTGACAAAGGTCTCATTCAAAAATGCAATTCTAGTGAAAGCAGCAACACATGCCCTAATCAAGGGTAAGGAAGGAAGAAAATAGTTATTAGGCTGAAATACAGTCAAGAGTTTTCAGTTATGTAGATTATTCATTCATCATGTTTTGTTTACTGTATATGCATTATAAAGATACATTATGAAACATGAGAAAAATTACCTGTATGAACTAAGAGGATCTAATTTTCCATTAAAATAACCATATGTTGTAGATTCACTTCCTATTTCAACATCATAATCCTGATTTTTGGTAGAAGATGAACGTTTTTCTTCAGTTTTGATATATGCAACATAACTATTTGTTTCTTTATTCCTGAAATCATTATATGTGTACTTTAAAGCCTCATTTGAGACTGTACCTAATTAGAAAAATAACACATTGCGAGGTAAGGTTAAATGATAAGCAGCATTTCAGCAGAATACTGTTATAACTTTTTTTAAATGAAAAAAAAGTCAGTGAGATGAATTTTTAATATTTTAACTGCCTGGTAATCAGTATTTATCTCACTTCTATAGATGCAAGATTTTGTATTCCTGAACAAAAGTTCCAGTGCAAATTTCTAAAAACTGTTAACTTAATTCACTTTTGGAAATAGTTTATATATAGTTTTAAGAGTACATGAATAAAATGGTGTTTTGTTAATATGGTTTCTAGAATTTATTGGGAAAAAAGGGAAAAAAATAAATTAAATGTTTCTGAAGTAGATTATATTGCCTTTTAATTTTCCAAGTTACCACTGGAACAGATGTAGCCTTTTTACTTCGTCTTTTGCTTTTTTTAAAAAAAGGAATGTTCTATACTCATACTCCTTAACCAATTTGGATAGGTTGGTGAGGACAATACTACAAATTTTGCAAGGGAGGACATTTCTAATAGTTTCTGCTTATTATTTTGTAGCTCCTTAATTGTATGCTGAGCAATTGTTTAAGTACATGGCTGGTCTCCTCTCTGCCTTCAAAATGTCCTGCAATTCATAGAAATTATATAATTCCAACGTGACTTAGAAAACTACTTTAGCATAGGTTTATTTTATGCATATCTTGTTCAAAACAAAGCTCTGCACAACACACAAATGCAAACTCAGGTGTTGAGTGCTTTACAAACCAAAATGAAGAAACAAATTTAACTCTGTAACTACTGTAATTGAATAAATGGAATTGTTCTGGAGATTTTATAGGAAAGGAGACAAAATACTGGGAGCTAGTTTCATAGCAAACTACTGCCAACCCTCTTGAAATTAAAGGCATTTCCTCACATTAAATCCTCACATTCACTAAATTAAGAATTAATGGTCTACAGGGATGTATTTACAACACTCACAGCAGAGTTACTGGTTTGAGATGGATGGCCATACAAAACTGCATGTTATGTATATATACATAAATAAATGTCTGTCCCCTAATATGAATGATAGATAGAACATTATTGTGAAACACTCACCACAAAAATACTGTTTTGACAATAATCACCTAGAATTAATACAATGTATCACACTGCATTATAGTGCATTTACCCTACCAAAATACAGATACAATACTCTGGGGACTGACAGGCCCACAGTCACCCAGCTGGCTTTCATATCTACAGAAGGCCTACAACCCAGTCTCCTGGTTTCTGTGCCAACCCCTGAACCATTATACCAAAACGGCTCTCTGCAATTATATAGAAGTTGTTTCTTTTTTCTTTTGCGATACTTTTCTGATTTCCCAGTTTAACTCACAACTATGATAATTCCTAGTCTTCCATCAAATAAAGTCCAACCTGATTAGCTTTTCAAATCAGCCAAGAACATCTAAATATAATTTGCAGGCATGCAATAAGCAATATGACTGCTATTCTCATAACAGTTTTTAAGAACAAGCGGGGTGATTTTTACATGTGACACATACTGGATCTATGTGCTGGTTTAGAATTTAGCTTTGACATACTTTTGCTTTGCTTTCTTTCTTTTTAATAAAAGAGCCCTCACACAGTATATACAGTAAATCTTCATGACTTAAAGACAAAGTATGTTTAGATCAATGGGAAAAATAGTTGTCCTAGGGATGTCATATTTTACCTTCTGATGTGGTAATAATTACTGCATATGCTGTTATAGGTCCATGACTTGAACTAAAACTGTTGAACTGGACATTTAAAGAGTTGTGGCTGGTTGCTTTGACAGTAGGGGACTTGGTCAAAGGTGGGGGATCTGTAAAAGAGAAAGTAATTATGAATTTATTAGGATATGGAAGGAATAAAATAAAAATAAAACCATTGTGCCAAACTACCACTGCCCATTCACAAAGCAGCAGCCCTCAGCACATCATGTAAATTTTATGACCCCATGTTCCAAGTACTACTATTACATTTGTGTTCGAAGCACCTGTCAAGGCGCTTCCAGGTTGAAAGGATTAGCTGGTGACATCACCGTTGCCAAGGGGATGCCCAAGGGGGCTCCTTTCATGTCCCTGTTACTTTCCCACCAAAATGGTACCTATTTATCTATTTGTATTTGCTGTCAAACTGCTAGGTGGGCAGACGCTGGGGAAGGATGGGAGCTCATTCCGTATTGCCTAATTATGTGCCATGAAGTTGGTGTCAACACTTGATGGCCACATACATATCACTTATTAATAAGAAAATGTCCCCCTCTGTATATTGAAAAAAATTGTATATACAATATATGAAAAGAAATAGAGGTACCATTTTTCTTCAGACAGATCTGCTCTAATAATTTATTAAGAAATTTATAAAGAATTTGAGGGGTGACAGAAAGAAAATGGAAACAACTAACCACAGAGGTTTTCGTGTAAGTATGTTTCTCATGTAAAAATACACACACATCCAATAGCTGTATCATCTTTATTCATTCAACAAGTACATACAAGCTTTAGTTATATGCTTACCAGTGATACTTGTGCGGCATATTTTTTCCTGAGGAACGCTCATTTTCTCACATGAAAGGGTGACAATTTTAATGGTATAAGTGGTAAAATAAGCCAGGTTTGTCACAATGGTTTGATTTTGTTTTTCCTCCAAAGTCGTGTTCCAATTATTGTTTAGGACCTTAATTTTGAAGCCTTTATAATCTCCTTTTGGAGTAGTCCAGTTTAGACTTAATTCTGCCTTTTTTTCTACCGGATTGCAGTCCAATCTATCCACTGATGCTGGATCTACAATAAAACAGAACGTCTATGGTTGTTACATTTACTATTTAATAAGCAGACAAATCTGAATAAAAAGTGCAGTAGGATGGAGCAGAAAAAAACACAATGCCTTCCTTAGTTATCTATTTTTATAAAGAGTTTTCATCCTAGGAATGCAAATGGGGTATTAAGAGAAAAACCATATCAACATAAACAGGAGCTATTATCGCACAAGGAGAAAAATACTGAAGTAAAATAAATTTCATGTAGTCAGTGAATGAATTTAGGCTATTCTTTACCAATTTCTGTGGAGTAAGCTCTCTTGGATTCACTGGCATTTATTTCTGAGGAGACCTGAACTGATTTCCATTACTAGCAACATTCTCATTGTCACAAATTTAAAAACTTTTGAGGAAACATTCCCTATGACTTTGAAAAGATTCAGAATTACATTTATGCAGTATAAGGATTGATTCATTGGAGAAAAAAAACAAGCTCCTATTTGCTATAATCTGTTTTTTAATCTTCTACTATCATCTCATCATCTTTAGACTTCTATTTGTCCTGAGTTTTTTTATTTCAAGACAATCTTGGGTAAATATTGGCTGGTTTCACTCAATGAAGTTATAATAATTGAAGTTATAATCAATTATAACTTAATGAAGTTATAATCAGAGATACAACATGGTTGGCTTTGTTAGTTTTATCATTGTTTAGATTTTTTATTTTTTTTTTGAGTTTAGCATGGTATAGGACGGGTAGACAACCTTGGCTCTTTTATGACTCGTGGACTTCAACTCCCAGAATTCCTGAGCCAGTATGGCTGGCTCAGGAACTCTGGGAAATGAAGTCCACGAGTCATAAAAGAGTCAAGGTTGCCTACCCCTGGTATAGGACAACAGACCATTTTTTGAGATATACTATAGATGTCTTCCCAGGAAAATAAAATGATTGGTAACCATTTTGTTTGTTATATCAATATGCTACTTTAATGTATTAGCCAGCCAGTAATTGGAGCTAATAACGGCCCCTTCATATATAATGGAAATGACAGCGACTCCTAATGGTACAAGAGCTGATAGAACATAATGTCTACTTTTGTATGCAACCCCCAGGAAAAGCTATTCTGCAAAGGGAACATCTAACAAAAGTGCATCTCTAGAGTAAATCTTTTTTGAGTAGCCAAGGAATCATTTAACAAGAATTGTGGGACTTGGTGGCACCCACCAATATCTCTTAAAATTATCTTATCTTAATATTTAGTTGCTGTACTAGCCCAGATGGGGAAAGAAAGAAATAATAGGGCTTAATTATTGCTAGATATAAGGTAACATCTAATTGAAAGATAACAGCATATCTGATTACTATTTTTATTCACTCCAGTAAACCATTCTTTTCTTCTACTGCACCTGCCCTCAGGTGGTCTTTCCCCCTGTTGGTCTTTCAAAAAGGATTGGGTGGTTAGGTGAGACTATGAGTTATTATTATGCCTGTTGCCATCTTTTTTACACTTTGTTGTGTATTGCTATTTTTTATTACTGTGCCAAAATTCTTAAACTCTTCCCCATCTAGAGTGGCTTTTGTTACATTGAATAAAATAAATAAAACCTTCAAACCAGTTTTCAGATGTATCCAGCACAAAGATTTCCCTCCATGTACAAAATGTTTATTCTGTGCTAAGAGCAATTTACACATCTTTAGTATGTACATCTCTAGAGACTTACTTGTACAATGAATTATGCTCTTGGGTATTCCTTCAGTCTTGTTATCTGCTGCTATGGAATATATACTGAATTGATACACAGTACCAGGATTTAGCTCTGAAATTTCAGTGCTAGTAATTGGGGATATTTTATCAGATTTTCCACCGATGAGTATCCTATAAGAGTATGTAGAAGCAGCTGCATCAGGACTTTTCCATGATACATTGACCACAGTTGTACTGACATCTTCAACTCTGATGTCGAAGACTGAACTAGGTTCTGTAAAGGAAAAAAAGTATTTGAATACACACATACATATAAATGCACCTAGGACAGTGATGTCATTGTCAATATCATCATCTCATTGATTATTCATTAAACCATATACATTAATCATAACCAATTCAAATTTTCATTCTGTACTTATAGCAAGTCCACTTCATCTGCCAGGTAAAAGGAATGGATTATTAAAGTAGTAGTGTAGAACAGAGTTCCCCAACCTTTCCATGTTGGCAGTCAGGGAGGATGGGAGAAAGAGGGGATGGTTTTGTGGGAGGGGCAGATGTGTGCGTGCACAAGCACCCATTGCTCGCACAAGTGAAGCCAAGAGCACTTCTGGTGCTCACGTAAGTAATGTGCCAAGCGCTCACACAAGTGAGGTGACGAGTGCTTATGCAAGTGAGGTATTGATTGCTCGTGCGAGTGGGGGCCCAAATGACCGTGACGCTTGCATGAGTGGGGCTATGCCAGCCAGCTACTCACTTGGACCAGTTGCGAATAGGCCACAGACCAATAATGGGCTGCGGCCCACAGGTTGGGGACCCATAGTCTAGAACACAAGGTGTCTAACTTACCCTCCAGAGATGGTAATCAGACCCACTCTTAAATTAAATTTTAAAAAGTAATTTAAAATGTAGATCAAGATTCTTTCAAAATGTCAAAATTCTCACATAATATTTCATGTAATAACACTAAAAATAATGCCTGAAGAAAAATTATGAGATTTTGGTATTCTGGACGGAAAGTTACTGAAAAACCACAAGAGGGGACAAGTTGGGAGTGGGGATCCAAGTCATTCATTATGTGTTGAAACCTGAAAAACCTCTATATTACGTATATTACAGAATGAAAATAAAAACTAAGATAACTTTCTTCCCAAATGCCCTGGAAACAACTCTTTTCTGAGTGCCTCAGAGATCTTTGTTGTACCCCCAGTTGTACCCCCAGTTTTTCTTGGGGGGGGGGAGGGGGAGACAACTGCCACTAATCATGCACAAGATTTATCTTAGAAAGGATGGCTGAGAGTTTTTCTGTTGGATATCCACCAGCATTAAGAAAGTAAAATTAAACTTCCAGCATTATTTGACACACATTTCTGATACCTGTATCAACACTTTTTTCTCTATCATTTTTTTTCTTACAGCACAAGGAAACAAGGGAACACTTCAAAAGGATAACCTCACTAAATAAGACAGGGTATTTTAGAATTCTGAGTAGAAAATTCTGAGCACTGCTGAGATTCATGGCTTCAAGAAATGGTAATAGCTTATGACAAAATAAAATTGGGAGTTGAGGTCAAATTCTGGTGATTTCATTGATGCATTTCTACAGTTTCTAAGCAGCAATGCAGAAGTGGACTGATGTTTCTTTTAATGGTTTCAGTCAAATCTACAAGCATGGAATCTACTATCCAAAGACTAAACAGATTCTGCTTAGCTACCAAGCTCAACCAGGGTTAGAGAAGTACTGCCTCTTGTGAGATTTATAACAAAATCATGGGGTAGAGAAAAGCACTGATTCAAAGATATTTCAATATTTTGGACTACTTAAAGCACAGGTTCAGTTTCATGGAAAATGCAGCTTTGGAGCATCAATGCACTATATATGATGTGATAATGCTAATAAATAATAATTTACTTGGAAATGTTTTTCAACCTAAAAAAAATAATCAATTAAAGCGTTGGTAAAGGCACCGTCATAAGTAAAGTTAAAGATTTCACGGAATGTTATTGAGCAGTAGAGATGGGCTAAGTTATCTCTTTCTTCCCTACAAGTTTCCAGCTCTCAAGATCCAACCAGTGAGCTGGGAAGAGTTAAAGTAACTAGCATTTGTGTTTAAAATATGTTTTCTGACAGTTAGAACAATTAATCAGTGGAACAACCTGCCTCCAGAAGCTGTGAAAGCTCCAACATTGGAAGTCTTTAAGAAGAGACTGGACAGCCATTTGTCTGAAATGGTATAGGGTTTCCTGCCTGAGCAGGGGGTTGGACTAGATGACCTCTAAGGTCCTTTCCAACTTCATTATTATTATTATTATTATTATTATTATTATTATTATTATTATTATTATTATTATTATTATTATTAGCATCATCATCTGAACAGTTTCAAATGTAATTGTATCAACATGAAAGCAGACTTGTATAAAACGGATTTGTTAATGGCAACAGATTTACACTGATTGCCTTCTGAGAAATGTGGTTTTAATTCCTGTCTTTCGTTTTGGGAAAGCACTTTCACCACATTCATACTCATCGACTCTGGGAAGCAATAAGAGATTCGTTTTATTTATCAAAGCTGCTTACTACCAGAAGACAGGGGCTTTCCAAATTATTTCTTCTTCAGGCTATTACCTACATGATTACTATACTGATTATTGGTTCATTATTCACAATGCTTTGTAACACAGCCAAGTTGTGACAATGAAATGCACTAATAAATAAAAGTGTCTGGCTCAAGATTTCCAATAACCATTTTCTTACATTCTGATGGTGATGTAGGAGGTGACCAGGCTGAGCCCGAGGGTGGGCTCAAATACGTCATCAGTTTAGAGTCATTCTGCTCCCACAAGAGACCCAAGTCCAGCCCTCTTTTAATCCCATTAACTCCTATCTAATATCAATTTGTCTTGATCATTAGTAGATCCAATACTTGTGTATATAGCATAAAATAGAGCTGTGGTGGCAGAGTGGTTAGAATGTAGTATTGCAGGCTAATTCTGCCAACTGCCAGCAGTTCGATTCTGAGTGATTCAAGGTTGACTCAACTTTCCATCTTTCCGAGGTCGGTAAAATGAGGACCCAGATTGTTAGGGGAAACATGAAGACTCTGTAAATTACTTAGAGAGAGTTGTAAAGTACTATGAAGTGGTATATCAGTCTGAGTGCTATTGCTATGGAATAAACTTGAGGTACTTTGAACTAAAATCCTGTTCTGGGTTATTTGTGCCTGACTGATACAAACATTTGTTTTTTGTTTAAATGTTTTTTTTTAAAATAAGTAGAATACTTTATGGAGAAGTATTATCACCATCAAACTAAGCTAATTTTTGTGCTGGAAAAAGAAAGTCAGAAATATGATTGGTTTCATCTGGAAAGCACAAATGAAAAATAGATTTCAACTGTAGAGCAAAAAATATTTTATAGGCTTTAGCTGTTGAAATTTTTCTACAAATATCAAAGTCAATCACATTCAATCTTGTTGTCCTTGAAAACATAATGGGAATATAAAGAATACTCTTGGGGCGTTATATTAACACACTTATATCACTTAATTTAATTATTTTATTTACTTATTTACTGATATAAACTGTTTTCTGAGTGATTGAGTAATGGGTAGATTTGTACTTTCATTACATAAAAATACACTACACATGATGATACATATGAGAGAAAAATAAAATAATTTCCAATCCCAAATCCAAAATTGTTATAACATGTCAAGTAGCATTGTTAATCATATGTTAATATTGCACTAAAATATTAGACTTTCATCATGTTAGACTTTATTTAACTCATACTGTGCATTTATAAAATAAACAGAAAAAAAATCACGATTTAATATACTTACTTGTATAAACTTTTATTTCATTTGGGTCTCCTTCCGTTTTACTGCCACTGATTTGTGCAGATATTACAAACTTGTAAAATCTTCCAGGTTCCAATTTAGGAATTGACACATGTGTAGTATTAGAAAAGAAGGTAAAAGAATGTCCATCAATATATATTAGGTAAATGTAATTTGATGCATTTGTATCATTAGTTTTCCAACTTAAATCCAGGGATGTAGTATTGATATTTTCAGCTTTAATATCATAAACTGGACTGGGCTCTGTTTAAGAGAAAAAGGCATTATCTTAGATATTAAAGTGAATAAAAATTTTGCTATTATAATGGACGGTGAATGCAGCTACTCAAATAGTACTGACATAGGTATAGCTATAACTATGTGGGTTTTCAAACAACATATATAGGAATACACAGGAGAAAAATAAATATACAGGAAAAAGAAGCATGGAATTCTATGCACAATACTCTGTTATCCCAGCCAATTAAGCCTTGATTTATTTGCAATGAACAAAAAGATCAAAAAGGACATTTCTTTGGGACTATCAGAATATTTTTTCCCTTATATTCTAAGACAAATAATATACGGAGTATATGTATCTGTGTATGTAAACAAGGAGAATCACTTGTGAAAACAATAATGAAACTAAGATTCTCAGTCACAGTCGAATCTGTGAATAGAAGAAAAACACATATAAATGAAAAAAAATTGTTTCAATATATTCCTAATGTGAAGATTTAAAACACAAGTGAAATTGCTAAACTTTTAGTATTAGTACTTTCTGTTGGCTGTCTTAAATAAAATTTCAGGATATATGTAGTAAAATGTATGTTTGCATGTGTTTGGGTTTTTCTACAAATACATTACAGAGATGGGTCAAATAAGGTTTTGTGGGCAAAATGTTGCTATTTGAATAGAGCCTAAAATTAAGATCCTAGTTAGATACAGCTCAGAAGAATTTGAAACAGCCATAAGCCCTAGATAGAAATGAGGGAGAGAAAGTGATTGTAGCAGAAAAATTCTTACCAAACATAATTAATTTCTCTAAATAGAGCATATATTTGGAAAATACAGGTATAAAACAAATACAGGTAGTCCCCGACTTACAACAGTTCATTTAGTGACCATTCAAAGTTACAACAGCACTGAAAAAACTGACATGACCATTTTTTCAGTTACGACCTTTGCAGCATCCCCACGATCATGTAATCAAAATTCAAATGCTTGGCAGCTGGTTCATATTTATGACCGTGGCTGTGTCCTAAGGTCATGTGATCCCTTTTTGTGACCTTCTGAGAAGCACAATCAATGGGGAAGCCAGATTCACTTAACAACTGGGTTATTATCAACTGCACTGATTCACTTAACAACTGTAGCGAGAAAGGTTGTAAAATGGGACAAAACTCACTTTAAAAATATCTTGCTTAACAACAAAAATTTTGGGCTCCGTTGTGGTCATAAGTTGAAGACTACCTGTAGTAGTGCTTTTGAAAAATACAAATAGTCACATTTGTACAGTTTTCCAAATAAATGCTCTATTTTAGATGCATTATCTCTTATTCATTTATCTGTTTGGGCATTTGTGCTTCTTTAATTCCAATATGGAGGGCCAACTTTTTCCAAGTTCAATAGATTTAGAAACATAATGTGACAATGTGATACACATTGTTTTGTACACTTTTAAAAACTGAGGATACCAGTGAAATCCGTGCATTAGTCCACTAATGTTCTCTTGCACTAGGCTCCATAAGGCAGAATTTGCCACTTTAATTTCAAATAAATTACAAATCAAGTCTATACATTATTCTAGGACCAATCAGAAGTCGAGGGTTACCTGTACCATCACATCATTTAAATGCACTTACTTGTATAAACACTTGTATCTGTTGGCTCTCCTTTATTACCATCAATTTCTGCATATATTTTAAACTTGTATAATGTTCCTGGTTCCAAGCCAACAATTTTCACATATGGAATATTAGAAGTTGTATTGTCAGTTCCATTGATATAAATTTGATAAGTATAATTAGATGCTTTTGTATCATTATTTTTCCACTTTATATCCAGAGTTGTGGTGTTGACATTTTCAAATTTAATATCATACACTGGACTGGGTCCTGTTTAAGAGACAAAAGGTCTTTTTATTATTCAATATAAAGCATACTAGACAGACATGGGTTGAATGATATTCTTAATAGTTTCAATAGGTGCATAAAAGTTGAATAAATATCTGCAGGAATTTTAATTTAAACTAGTTAAGGGTTTGGGTGAACTTAACCAGTGCCTGGTAGGGATGTGAGGGGGAAAAGGTGAAGCTTGTATAGAGTAAATGTGGACATTCTATTTTCATCCAGCCTTCTCAGCAGTATGAATATTAACATCAAAATAAATCCATTATCATGCATTTTTCTCCAATTAGGTCTTCAGCAAAATGCAAACCACTTTCTTTTTATATCTTAAAAAAAGTGTTTTGCTGAAAGTTGCAAACAGAGGAAATTTCATTTTTAGCTTACAGCCTTTCTTGATCATTTTACTCTGGAGCAACATTCAAGTATCAGGGAAACTCTGCATAAAAATCACAAAACATTCAAAACTTCGCAATAACAAGTCACTTCCAGTCCATACAATCCTCATTTTACAAAATTCACAACAGCAAGGCAGCAGGCTGGCCATTGAATTGCAGTACATTAAATTTCCAGCATTGTCAATGGAGACATCGCAACATTCATAATTAGTCCTTAAAACCTTTTTAGCAGGTAGCTTAATTATGGTGTAAAATTCATCAGTCAATACAAACAAATAAAATCTGAGAATGTTTCCCAAGAAAAAAGGGTAGAATGCAAATAATGTCAAGTTGCTATTTTCACCACTATTGTAACACGCAAATTATATCACTTAGATCAGGGGTAGGCAACCTCGGCTCTTTTATGACTCATGGACTTCAACTCCCAGAATTCCTGAGTCAGCACTGACTCAGGAATTCTGGGAGTTGAAGTCCATGAGTCATAAAAGAGCCGAGGTTGCCTACCCCTGACTTAGATGGAACAAAGTTTACCCCAAAGAAGCGCACATGCAGCTAGATATGTTCAGACCTAATTGCACAAGTTGGGGGAGGCTGGGAGGTCTGATGCAGGCTAGATGCAAGTTGGGGAAAACAGGGGAAGAAGGCCTTGGAAGCCCAGTGCAGGCCACATGCGAGTGAAAGAAAGCAATTTGCTGCCTTCCCTGCCAGCTTCCCCATTGACCTCGCTTGCGGGAAGCCGGCAGAGAGGATTGCAAATGGCAGTCACATGACACGGCTTCCTGCAACATCAGAATTGCTAATTGGCACACAGACTGTGGTCATTTGACTATAAGGGGTGCTGTGATGGCCCAAACTTTTGAGGACTGAATATATGTTTATTTTTTCAGTACCATCCTAACTTTGACCCAACAATGCTTTTTCCCAAAGGTAACTGGACTTTCTTGGGTTTTTGTTTTTTTTAATTTCACTTCTTAGCCAAGAAACTTCTTCAGAACATCCAGTTGCCGTTTGAAAAAGCACTTTTGAGACCATCATGACCTGGATGATTGAGAGTCTCTGTAGACATAACTTTGAACAGCCACTGAACGAAGGGAACGAAGGCTGAGGACTGTCTGCATATGATAGCCTCTTTTGTTTAACCCTGTATCATAAATACTCCTGTACAGCTTTACTTCTAGAGTGCACATGCAAATAGTCACACTTCATGGCATATTTTACACAATCAAATTATTGAAAGAACTGAATGGGATCCTAGACAGTTCAGTCACAACCACCTGTGTTGTAGATCCATGTCCCTGGCTTGTGAAAGCTTCCCCGGAGGTGACATGTAGGTGGGTTCTGGCAGTGGTTAATGCTTCTTTATGGGAGAGGGTGGTGCTCCAGTCTTTTATGGAGGCTATGGTCCACCGTTTTCTTAAGAGGTCATTGCTAGACCCCATCCTATTGGATAATTTTTGTCCTATCTCCAACTGTCCTTTTCTGGGGAAGGTTGTTGAGAAGATGGTTCCTGGATAAAACAGATTATCTTGCCATCTTTGGTATTGGATGGGGTTACACTGCCCCAGATGGACCCCGGTGAGTAATTTGGGAGTTCTTCTGGACTCGCAACTCCTGCTCGCAGATCAGATGGAAGTGTCATGGCACAAAGGCCTTCATGCAACTGTTGGCCGAGTGTCAATTATCCCTTTCCTGGATCAACAAGCCCAGCTCATACTCACTCATGCCCTAGTTACCTTGGCTATTACAATGCTATTTACATGTGGCTGATGCCTTTTGAGAAATATCCAGAAGCTTAAATTGGTTCAAAATACAGTGACCCACATGGTTTTGTGCACATCTAAATTTGCACATAGGATACCTGTTCTGAGAACTGCATTGCTTGCCAATTTCCTTCTAGTTTTAATTCAAGGTGCTTTAAAGGCCTACATAGCCAGGTTATCTGAAGGAGCATTTTTTCCCATTACATCTACCCGATCCCAGAGTGGGGAGGCACTCTATGTTATGGATCTGCTCTCTTAAGGAAGTCCACCTGGTGCGACCAAGAAGAACGGCCTTCTCTTTCCATGTGGAAAAATCATGCTTGTGGAAATAAGACTGGCCTCCACCTTGACACTCATTCAGAAGGCACATAGTTTTGCCAGAGGATTTGGGGATATGGAGCCTGATTGTTGTCAGGGGAAGGGAGAGTTTATTTCTGTAAGCTGCCGAGAGTCACTGTGAGTTGTGCAAACATACAAATTTTCTTAATAAAATAAAATACATAAAAAATAATATACATTAGATCTCCTAATTCAGAAAGTTGCAAAAGCTGATCACATGACTCTGGGACACTGCAACCATCATAAATATAAACCACTTGTCCAGCGTCTGAATTTTGATCATGTGACCCTGGGGATGCTACAATGGCAAGAAGTGTGAAAAACACCATAAATCACTTTTTTCAGTGCCATTGTGACTCTGAATCACCACTAAATGAACTGTTGTAAATCGAGGAATATCTGTACTTATACTTTTCTATGTATAGTATTCAGTTTTCCAGCATACTATACATGGTATCCTTTTTTGTTCAACTCTTTATCAGAAATGTATAATTTTTACCGATGTAGTACACATGCAGACAGATGAAATCACACCTCATTGCATATTTTATATAAATATTTTATGTAATAATGAAATATACACCACATGTCTTAATTTAACACACTTACTTGTATAAACATTTATTTCATTTGGATCCCCTTCGGTTTGATTACCATCAACCTGTGCATATATTTCAAACTTGTATGATGTTCCAGGTTCCAAGTCAGAAATTGATACATAGGTAGTATTAGAAGTTATATTATTAAAACGACCAGGTCCATCAATATATATTCGATAAGTGTAATTTGATGAATTTGTATCATTATTTTTCCATGTTAAATACAGGGATGTATTAGTGATGTTTTCAGCTTTAATATCATAAACAGGACTGGGCTCTATTAACGAGAAAAAGACATTTAGATTAGTGAATATGAAAATATATTGTATAATAGATGTACACAGGCTGTATGGTATTCCTCGTGGTTTCTATTGCATAAAAATATCTGTAGGAGTTCAACTCCCAGAATTCCTGAGCTAGCCATGCTAGTTAAGGGTTTAGGTCAGGGGTAGGCAACCTTGGCTCTTTTATGACTCGTGGACTTCAACTCTCAGAATTCCTGAGCTAGCCATGCTGGCTCAGGAATTCTGGGAGTTGAAGTCCACGAGTCATAAAAGAGCCAAGGTTGCCTACCCCTGGTTTAGGTGAATGTAATCAATAGCAATGTGAGGAGGAAAAAAAGGTGAAGTTTCTATAGGAGTGAAATGTAGGCATTCCAGTGGTTAAGTCCCCAGGCTAAAAACCAGGAGACTGTGAGTTCTAGTCTTGCCTTAGACACAAAAGCCAGCTGGGTGACTTTGGACCAGTCAAATTCTCACAAACCAACCCACCTCACAGGGTTGTTGTTGTGGGGAAAATAATAGGAAGGTATAATAGATAGCTTGAGTTATTTATAAAAATAATAAAGGTAGGATATAAATAATAAATAAAAACAAATGAAATGAAATGAAAATTAGCATAAAAGTATGTCTACTTCATGCATTTTTCTCTCAAGACTTAAGCAAAATGCAAAGCATTCTCTCTTCCCATCTTAAAAATGTATTACTCAAAACTGTACCCCAAGAAAATTAGATTTTTAGTTTGAATTATGTAAAATTTATATTTAAAAGAGTTGATGATACAGAAAGCAAGATAATTTTGTATTAAATATTTAGACAAATGACTCTTTAGTAATTTATATTAAGATGTCCTCCTATTAGGGAAAATGCATATAAAAGTTCTATAACTTCAAACTTTTCAACCTAAAATATAAAACAATTATTAGTTTGTAATAAAGTTGAATTAACATGCATTGAAAAATCAACCAGATATTTACCAATCTCTATATTCTCAATGCCTCAATGCTTATTCTGTACCCCTACAGAGACTGTGACTTTTTAGAAGCTCTTTTGCAAGTGATATCACAATAAGATGACCAATAAAGATTTTTTTTTCTCTTTAGGTTAATCTCCAGGTGTGGAATGCCACCAATAGAGAATCATATTTGTTTAAATCTTCTGGGCAAAGAAAAGAACTTTTCATTTCCCCAGGCTTTTTATTCCTGCATTTTTTATCAAACATTTTTCCTGGAAATTTGCAGTTCTTCTTAACTTTTAAGATAATGCACATTTAGAGGAAGAACTGAGGTGTTAATTTATTCTTTGTCCTTTCAGTTTAAGTCTCAACAATTTATTTATTCTCTTATATAATACGTTGGTGCCAAACTCTTTATTGGGTCGCCTAATTATAGTGTAAAATTAATAAATCAATACAAATAGACCAAATCTCAGAATATTTCACAAGAAAAATGATGGAATGCAAATATTGTCAAATTGTTACTTACTCCACTATGGTAATATGTAAATAATATCCTTTAGATGTAGCACAATATATAGGAGGTCCTTGACTTACAACAATTGAGCCCAAAATTTATGTTGCTAAGTGAAACATTTGTTAAGTGAGTTTTGCCTCATTTTATGACCTTCTTCCCACAGTTGTTAGCTGAATCACTGCAGCTGTTAAGTTAGTAACAGTTGTTAAGTGAATCTGGCTTCCCCATTGATTTTGCTTGTCAGAAGGTTGCAAAAACTGATCACATGACTCTGGGACACTGCAACCATCATAAATATGATGCAGTTGCCCAGTGTCTAAATTTTGATCATGTGACCCTGGGGATGCTACAATGGCAGGAAGTGTGAAAAACATCACAAGTCACTTTTTTCAGTGCCATTGTAACTCTGAAACATCACTAAATGAACTGTTGTAAATTGAGGAATATCTGTACTTATACTTTTCTATGTATAGTATGCTGGAAAGAGTTTTCCAGCATACTATACATGGTATCCTTTTTTGTTCAGAAATGTATAATTTTTACCGATGTAGTGCACATGCAGACAGATGAAATCACACCTCATTGCATATTTTATACAAATATTTTATGTAATAATGAAATATACATCACATGTCTTAATTTAATACACTTACTTGTATAAACATTTACTCCATTTGGATCCCCTTCGGTTGGATTACCATCGGCCTGTGCATATATTTCAAACTTGTATGATGTTCCAGGTTCCAAGCCAGCAATTGATACATAGGTAGTATTAGAAGTTATATTATTAAAACGACCAGGTCCATCAATATATATTCGATAAGTGTAATTTGATGAATTTGTATCATTATTTTTCCATGTTAAATCCAGGGATGTATTAGTGATGCTTTCAGCTTTAATATCATATACTGGACTGGGCTCTGTTTAAGAGAAAAAGGCTTTTACATACTGAATGATAATCAAAATTAAATATTTAGCATTTTTTCTGTAGGGTTAGAAATCATCATGTAAAATGCAAATTTTTAGTTCGCACAACATACAATATGTCTCTACTTAATAATTTTGACAAATTAGGGGTTTATTATAACTTTACAATATTAATGCTTTGGATGATGACTGAAAAGCTGGACTGGGCTCAGTTTAAGAAAAACAATTAAATATTTGTTTCAAATTATCTTGGATTAGGAATGGAGTATGTGCCAAATTGTCAATTACACTGGCAAATATAAAACCCTATTTAGGTTTTCAAAGAATGTATGTAAAATAAACTGTGAAAGAGGCATGGAATAATACTTTGCCCATTTATTTCCCACCTCCACTCCCCCCAGTTGTATTTGCCTCACTTTTATTTCACTTTTACTTCACTTTCCTTCCACCGAACAGAAAGATGAGAAAGAACATAACTTTTGTGTCAACTGAAGCATAGCTTATTTTTTTACAATAACTACTGCAGGTTATCCTCGACTTACAACAGTTCATTTAGAGACCATTCAAAGTAACAACGTCACTGAAAAAAGTGACTTATGACCATTTGTCACACGACCATTGCAGCATCCCCATAGTCACATGATCAAAATTCAAATGCTTGGCAACTGGTTCATATTTATGATGGCTGCAATGTCCTGGGGCCATGTGATCGCCTTTTGGGCCCTTCTGACCAGCAAGGTCAACGGGGAAGCTAGTTTCATTTAACAACCGTGTTACTAACTTAAAATGCAACGATTCACTTGACAATTGTGGCAAGAAATCATAAAATGGGGCAAACTCACTTAACAAATGTTTCACTTAGCCAAATAAATGGGCTCACTTAACAAATGTTTCACTTAGCCACATAAATGGGCTCAATTATGGTCGTAACTCGAGGACTGCCTGTACTCTAGTGCTACAAAATTCTCAACCATACAGAAAATTCTAAGCTCACTCAACCCAAATACCCAAGATTCTGCCTTTATCATGATAGGATTAGATCTGATGTGCAAGTACAGTAAGAAGCATAAGATATTCCTCCAAGATAAAGCCACTTTTTATGACATTGATGTTTTCAATTAAAATGCAAAAAGTGGAGGGTTTTTGTTTTAAGAAAGAAAAGAGTGGGCTTATTTTACCAGAAACCAAAAGTATTATTATTGTAACCTAGATTTAACATATGGAAAAGTTAAACAAAATAAAAACATTCAAGTAAGAGTCAAGCTAACTGCATCTGTTAATTTAATGTACTTACTTGTACGAAGACTTATTTCTTTTGTGTCTCCTGTAGTATTGGTCCCATTTATTTGTGCAGCTATTTCAAAGTTATATAATGTTCCAGGTTGCAAATTACTGAATGTTATATTTCCAGTATTAGAAAAGGCATCATTATGAAAATCAGGTCCTTTGTTAAGTATTTTGTAAATATAGCTAAAAGCATTTACATCTTCATTGTTCCAAGTCAGAATTATTGATGTGGAATTGAGATTGTTAGCATGGATACTAGAAACTGGACTGGGTTCTGTGAAAAAAACAAAATTATTTTTACCAGTAAATAAAATAAAAATATATTGATGTAGTGCATGAAATATTAACAAAGACTCCAACCACGTCTGAAATTAATTAATGAAATTAATCATATACTTACCTCTATAAAAACAGTTTGCATTTAGTTTTAGATGGTGATAAAGGAGAGTGATATATTATTGAAGCTCATTTAATAGCCAAAAGCACTAACTACTACAATCAGTTCACTTAACTAAGTGTACTTACTGGTGTGAACAACTGTTTCATTTGGGTTTCCTTCAGTCTTACCACCATCTACTTGTGGATATATTTTAAATCTGTATGACATTCCAGGTTGTAAGTTACTAATTGGCACACTCCATTTATTAGAACTTTTAGTGCGCAAATCATCCAGTCCATCAATATCTATTCGGTAAGTGTAATTGGATGCATTTATATCATCATTTTTCCAACTTAAGTTCAGGGTTGTGTTGGTGATATTTTCAGCATGAATACTGTGAACAGGACTTGGCTCTGTATAAGAAACAGAAAACAATTTTCTTTGATCAGAGAATTAAAATCTTACCATATCATTAAGTATTACCAACCCAGATTATGATTTGTTAGTATATACCTCTCCTCTTTTTCACTGTTTCTAGTACTATGATGCCATTTTAAAGTATGGCAATTAAAAGGATGTTTAATATTATTACAAGTTTAAAAGAACACATGGCCATTTATCACCCATATTAAGACTTTAGAAGCAGAATGTAATAAACACATGCCATAACACTAATATTAGAATTTAATATACTTAGGAAGATATACTTAGCAAAACTTAATTATTTCTACATCTGAAAGTTTCAGGCTGAAATCTTATCCTGTGGCATGCAATTATATTCTTATAAGACAAGAAAGAAAATGTAATTTACAGTCTACATCCCTATACAACCTGTTTGGAGATAAGATTTGTTTTAAGTAGTGCAGCAAAAATTTAAGCAATTAATCTATGAGGCGTCTGTTACCATGGCATACTATAAAAATGATAATAAAGTCTTTATGAAAGAATTCCAGCAACTACTATGTATCAAATGGAAGCCCTATTTACTATGAAATCAAGATTTAAATTTTTGCACATTTTTGCCCTGTGCATTCAATATAATGATCTTGAAGCTGCTCTCTGTTGAATGGGAAGAGAGATTTCCATCTGCCCCTTCTCTAATAATGGAAAGTCTGTTTGCTTCTGGACTTCCGGGGAAGATGGTGGGCTGAAGACCGTTCTGTGGAAAGCGGAGCTGATATTTGCGACCACAAACAGAATGCCTACAAAGAGATTGGCTACTTTGACACTCTCTGGACAGAGAAAGGACATGAGATTGCCCAAGCTGTTTTCCTTATGGTTGCTCCTCACCAGGAAGCCACAAGACAGCCGTGACCAGAGAGTGTAAGAAACAGGAAATGAAGGAATTCACCGTAATTGCTCCAGCCACAAAAGGAACCCTTTTAAAAGATTCGTACTTAATTCCAAGTTCACACTTAGAAAACTGCCAAAACAGAGAGAACCAAGAGAAAGGCTGGCTTCCACTTCTTTGGGGGGGAAACATATTGAGTAAGGATACAACAGGCAATGACAAGAACAGGTAAAAGAGAAGAATGTGTGAGTCTGATAGCATTTCCTAACAAATGCTATAAACTTAAAATTGGTTGGACTGAACAACTACAGACTAGAAGCTTTAGATCTAGCAAGAAATTTTCACTGGGTTAAACAGGGAAGCTGGCAATTTGTAACAGTTTTTCCACCTTACCCTCCAGTTCGATATTGTTTGTTTGATTATGTGTCATCAAATGGATGTCAACTATTAGTGACCACACATATTTGCTGATCTATCACTCAGCTAGTCTTTCAGGTCTTCTATTCATCACCAGTGTAACTATTTCTGAGAGATGGGGGCCTCTTCAAGAAGCATATTAAGAATTATTAAGGGAAAGAGGATGAGAAATCCTTCTGCCAGCAGAGGTTTCTGAGCTGAACTATTTGGGGATAGGGAATAAAAGTTCTCAGCGTAAAACTTTGCAAACCAAAATCCTTGGAAGTGGTAACTGCATTCTGTTTAGAACACACAACAACCTGAAAACAAACAATTAATGGATGACTGCATTAACAGATATTGTGAGATGGGAGGCAACTGGTGTAAATAGATGGATTCTGGTTTGCTGTATTATCTGAGGGTGCTACAACTTAATTTTCATGACATATCCCGGCATAACTGCTAATTCAAAACCTTACTTTGGCAAATGTTAATTATGAGAATCACTTCTCACATAGTCAGAAGCAACCAGCATGATACTAGATCAAGCTAGTATCAAACAAGTAGAAATTGTTTTTTCCACCCAGAAGAAAATGTTTTTCCAATAGGAGAGAATATATGTGGCTCAGGGTTGAACTGAAAGCACCATGGACTCCAAAGAATGTCTTATCCGATTAAAACATGTAGGTAGAGGAGAAGATAGAAAAATCTGAACTTTGATTACATTATAAATAAGGCTTGCACTTAAAACCTAGTTCCAGGAATTCTTTCACAATTCTTTCATGAACTTTGTGACAATATATCTACTTATCAAACACTTGGTATCTTCGGAAATCTTATTTTTTGTAGTTTCTTGTGTAGATAGCCAAAGGAAGTCTGATAGTAAGGCAATACTGACAAAACTAAATCCAGGTCTCATTTTCTCACTGGTTACACCTAGTTCTGGGGGGGGGGGAAGCTGTGATCTCTTAACCATGAGCTAATTATTAGTTCATTTGAATGAGCAAAAGTTACCTACTATACATTTTTTTCTCTCATCTTATAATGTAATGATCTTGAAAACTATTTTGTGTAATTTCTAACCCATTACTTACTTGTAAAAATGTATTCGCAGCAAGCTTCAATAGTATTATTGAAATGAACGATATACTGAAAACCAGGATAAAGCCCAGATATTGAATCATTCTCAGAATCACCCACATTTGATCCATTCGGAAACGTTGCACTCATTCTTGTAAAGTTGTTGCTTAACTGGATACTTATTGTTGTTTCTGTTACTGTTACATCTTTTAAGGGACTGCATTCGGTATCACCTACGCAGAAAAAAAGAGACAAAGATATTTTAAAGTAACCAGATTTTCGTAGTTTAATGCAACATCATTTAGTTTTTATTCTTTAGTAATTGGTGAGGGAAACAGTTTATAATTTATACAAGCTCCAGATATCATGAACTGCACAAGGGATGATGCTGTTAAGATTAGAAGGCATATATAGTACTGATGGATTGTTAACACATTTTTCACTAGTCTGTTTACAAAGCACATAATGAACAAGGTATGCTACATTCTCATGGATATCCTCCTGCTTCAGACAGTAAAAGGCTGGCTTAGGTAGTAGCCAGCCAATACATCTGGATTTACAAATGTGATTTATTTAGCTTGGGCCTAGCATATAGTGTGAACCCAATCAACTGTACAGGTAGTACTTGACTTACAGCCACTTATTTAGCTTGTTATAACATCGACCGTTTGAAGTTATAACGGCACTGCAAAAAGTCACTTATGACCATTTTCACACATAGCACTGTTGCAACATCCCCAGGGTCACTGATCAAAATTCCAGCGCTTGGCAACTGGCATGTATTTATGACGGTTGTAGTGTCTAGGGGTCATGTGATCAGCTTTTGTGACCTTCTGATAAGCAAAGTTAATGGGGAAGCCAGATTCACTTAACAACTGTGTTACTAATTTAATAACAGCAGTGATTCACTTAACAACTGTGGCAAGGAAAGTCGTAAAATGGGGCAAAACTCACTTAACAAATGTTTCACTTAGTAACATAAATTCTGGGCTCAATTGCAGTTGTAAGTTGAGGACTACCCGTAGTTTATTTTAACAAATAAATTTAACCATAGCTTAGCATGCTACGTAAGCCTATTTACCTCTGTATATGAAGTTTATAATGTTACTCTTTCAACATTCAATAAACTTGTTATGGTGAACAGCAGTGTATTTCAAATTATAGGTTAAATACAATGATCTTTCCTAGACCTCTTATAGAAGTATGTGGTTTTAAGCATTTATACAAATACAAAAACATCAGTGTAGATTCTGGGAAAACCTTCAAGTGTAATACTGAAAGTGGGATATATAACAGCATAGTACTTACATGCAGCAGTGGCTTTTACCTGTAAAACAAGAAATCATACACAGTGTTAGAATATTTTGAATCCTGTATACAATGGACCACACTAGTATTAGCTGTATATCTCTGTATCAGTATTATAACAATATTATAGTTCTAACACACATCGTCAAGTTTAAAAGTATATTGACCCCGATTCAAATTTAATATGTTTCCCTTTGAGTGGTATCCAGTTAAATTATTACCCGCAAATATAAAATTTAATTCTACTCCATCAAATAGCTAAACATTACTGAATACTGTTAACTGAAACCATCCAATATCTATAATCTTCACTTACTGACTGCAATAGGGACCAGCAACTCTGCCACTAAGCGGTGTGATCATTAACCGTGATGCCCTGTGACAGCCCTGACTTATGACATCAGTTCCAACTGTGGGTCATTACGTGCAATATCACATGACTGTGACTTGTGACTTCCTACTGGTTTTCTCATTGACTCTGTTTGTTAAAAGCCAGCTGAGAACATTGCAAATGGTGATCGCTCAGTTGTGGGTCACTGCAACCATTGTAAATGTATGTGGGTTGTCAAGCACTCAAATTGCAATCATGTGACTATAGGGACACCGTGATGGACAGCTGCAACTTCAAGGGCCAATCATAAGTCTCATTTTTCAGTGCCATTGTAACTTTGAATGGTAGCTGAAGAAATGGTCAGTAAATGAGGACTGCCTGTATTGTAAAATAAAATTTCATCTGATAATCAAATGATAGGAATACATATTAGCTATAAATTCTAGAATCAGAAGTCAATTTATATTGAACCTAAAACTTGTCCCAGTATGGTCTAAATTATGAAGACAGCTCCCCATTTCTCTTTCTTCATAAAGTGGTTAGATAAAGCACTAAGTATACACAACTGTATATAGTGACACCTACAATTCCCAGCCCAGCCTGAAGTCCATGAATGCAAAGGACATTCAGAGCTTCACAATGAAACTGTGAGTTTGTAAGCTCTCTAAGCCAGGGATGTCAAACTGCCGGCCCACGGGCCGGACGCATCATGCGGAAGCTGCGCCCATCCCATTGCTGGCAATGGCAAAACCGTTCCGATACGTTGTGTGACATCACGAGTTTGACAAGTCTGCTCTAAGCAAACAAGGACTGCAAATACATAAAAAGTCCATAATTTCTGCTCTATAAACTGGGCCTTCTGCAATTTTAATACTTGAGTTCCTTATATAAGGGCTTTAACATTCTTAAATGTATCTGAATATTGTCTCTAACAACACAAATTAGTCTGCTTTTCCATAATCTGTATTTGCTGCTGAAAAATTCACTTTCACATTTTTTATTCCTGCTGCAGTGAGATAATGTGTTAAAAGAGAATGATCCATCTACCTATGCACATTCAAATATATTAGTAGTATCATTCATATTTCATAAGGCACACAGGACACTGGAAATTATCTCATGTAATACTAATAGTACACCAGAAGAGGTCATAATAAAACCATAAATGTACTGAAAACAAATTAAGAAACTTAAGTATTGACACATTTCTAGATTGCCTTTCTCTTTCATTAAAAGAGGATCATAATCATTGCCTCCTTTCTTTTTCTGCAATGCAATTTATTCAGCTTTTGATTTCTGGATTTATTGCACAAATGTTGCTAAGTTAAATCTTATCTCCAACTCCAAAATCCCTCATACACATTGCTTGAATTTTGAAATTACCAATTTACTCATTCATTTTACCATTTTTATCTTGCCTTTTCATTTTAAAGGAACTAATAGAAGAATATAAAATACTGTAAATAAAATAAACTCTATTGCTTGCCAGGAATCAGAAAATTTCACATTCTACATATCAAGAAACAAGATGCTTGGCAGCTCTCATCAGCCATCAGATTTCTGATATAATCTAACTAGCTAAGAAGCTAGTTAGTTTTGCCTATGTCAGGAAGTTAAGCCCAATCTTTGTCTATATAAATGAAAAAGTCAGTGTAAACTGCAGGTAGGTTGGCTTTTTAAACCAGTGTACAGCTCCTCCCATTTGTTTTTAAATTTAAAAAAACTGACTTTCACATAGTATTTTGCTCTCTTAAGGACGAATGATTATACGGTGGTACCTCAGTATTTGACTGCTTTGAAACTTGTGAGAAATTTTGATGAGAAAATTTTGACCCAGTACTCATCATTTGGTACTTGACGCAAAAGCTAGAACTTGTCAGTGTGGTTTGCCTTGAGACTCACTACCCTTTCCGGCCGAAACGAAGGGTCACACGCTAGTCACATACTGATTATCGATTAATGATGAGAAGACCACTGTATTTGAAAGGATAGGAACTATGCTTCTAGCAGCATTTTTTTTGTAATTAATTAGTCACTTTCAATACAGATAGTCCTTGACTTATGACCAGTCACTTAGAGACAATTGAAATTAGGATAGACCTCTCTCCCCAAAAAGCTATTTATCATCTGGTTTCAAAGTTACGACCACTGTAATGCCCCTATGGTCATTTGACATTAAACCAATCGCAGAGATGCTGCAGCAGCACACACACACACGGATGCCTATCTCCCCCCAGCCATACCACCTCACCAGGTCCCTAAATAGCTTTGGCCTGCTCCCAACCCAACACTCAGCCACCCGAGGGAGCCTCAAGTCACTTGCAGAGGCTATGGGCCCATTTGAGGCTGTTGCAGTTTGTGAGGCTCAGCCAGCTCTCAACCCAGCCATTCAGCCACCCAGGGGAGCCTCTGCGCGGCCAAGTGGGAAGCAAAGTGCGGAGAGCCAGAGACGAGGAAGCAGGCCCAAGGCCTGCAATGATCCCAAGGGATGGAAAACAGAGCATGGAGTATCTCGAGGGGTAGTGGAGGCTTTGGAAGGCCTGAGGTAGGCAAGCCTGGGTCTGATTAGGCCTCCCAGGGTCTCCCCTATGCTTGAGCCAATCCTTGCTCTGCTTAACTAGTGTATTGGGGGATCATGTGTGGGGTCATTATACGAATGATCACATGAATGCTTCGCTTAACGACTATCATGAGTTGCGACCAAAACGGGCAGGCCCCATTACAGTCATAACTCGAAGCTACCTGTATTTTGTACCGTATATATATAGAGCAGTACAGAAGTGGGGGGGGGAGCAAATTCTGGATTTGCACAGCATACTAAACCAGGATAAACTGGATGGTGTAATTTGTGGTTCTGTGTGTTCTGTAAGGTCAGCCTTTACTTCATCATGTTGTGTAAATTACTCCTTATTGTAAGTCATAATATGGCTTATTTGTGCACACCACATTAGATATATGAAGAAACTTTCACTGAATTTCATTTTACCATGTTGTACGGACACAGCCATGGTGTTCTTTTCCAGTTACTCCTACTAGACGTCTTCAGTGACTCCAAAAAATATCACCTCTGATTTGTGGGTGGAAGGGTGAGGCGACTGTGAACTCACTGGCATTTCTAAGAACGACTGTCTCCTCTACAAAACGCCTTCTACCTCCAGAGACTGGATTAATAAGGAAACAGTTTCAAAGCTATCTAGGCTGCAGTGGTAAATTAATTGGGGATGGGAGGGAGGAAAATCAATAGAAAGGGTATGGATCTGAGATAAAATAGGTCTGATATTATAGTAGTCAAAGTATTGCCTGATATTCTGCTTTGTACTCATTGTATATTTCACTGGACAATTCCTTTGTCCCTGATATCTTCCTTTCCACAGTAGCTTTCCATAACCTCATAATAATTAGTGATGCAAGACAGTATTTTATTGCTGTTTGCAAGCATATAAAAAGTGATTTAAAAAGTTATCTGCTATCATAAGCTATATGTTATCTTCCCAAGCTGTAACATAAAAACATTTTGTCCAAGAAAACACTTTTATGAAGTAATTCTTTTAATTGCATAACATATAAATTGCATGTGCATTAACTCACTTTGTTTATGGTATATCTTCTAAATTTAGTAAGTTATTAACTTATTCATACAAGGAAGTTTTAATGCTTCTTTTTGAAAGAACATAATAATTTACATATTTCCAAGCTTCAACACAAGCAATCACCAGCTAAATTTCTTCTAATTCATTCCCCTTGATTCTTGCTCTGTTTTTTCTTCTCTCCAAAACCAAATATACATACTCCTGTCAACATAAGGCATTTCAGGACATTTATTGAAGCAATGTACTCTTTAAAGCATAACAGAGCAAAGGTAGTTCTTGATTTACAACCTTTTGTTTAGTGACTGTTCAAAGTTATAATAGCACTTAGAAAAAGTGACTTATGACCATTTTTCACATTTATAACTGTTGCACATACCCATGGTCACATGATCAAAATTCGGATGCTTTGGCAACCGGCATGTATTTATGAAGGGTGCAGTGACCCGGTGATCATGTGATCACCTTTTGTGACTTTCTGACAAGTTAACGGGGAAGACAGATTCATTTAACAACCGTGTTACTAATTTAACAACTGCTGTGATTCACTTAACAACTGCGGCATGAAAGGTTGTAAAACTCACTTCACAACTGCCTTGCTTAGCAACAGAAATTTTGGACTCAATTTTGGTTGTAAATCAAGGACTACCTCTAGTGGCTATCCCTCTAACCTTAGGCTGTTTTAATTTACAAAGGCCTGGCATCAGATGCAGATGATACTGCCTGGTCCTGAAAGACTAGTATATCTTATTGAGAAGCTGCAAAACCTAAGATAAATTAAGCATTTTGCAAAGGTGCCTTCGAATGAAATATGGAGGTAAGCACTTTCTGACTATGGAGGTAAAACCAAGTGCAGCCAGATAAATTTGGGCCAGTGGTTATCTTTATTTGGAGAGGTAAAATTTTATTGATTTATTTCCTGCCTTTATTATTTTTACAAATAATGAAGGCAGGAAACATAGCTTTGCCCTCCCATTTTCTGCACAACAGTAACGTAGGTTGGGCTGAGAGAGAATGACTGATCCAAGTCACCTAGCCGGCTTTCATGACTAAGGCAGGAGTAGAACTCACACCTTTAACTACTAGTCCAAATTGCC